GTGATGCTCATCGAGAAGGTATTCTAAGTGCCGTATATGCCAACAAGGCACACTCCCTCTGGCAATTGTCGGACTTCGATCGTGCTCACGGTGAGCTCCTAGGCAATCGACACTCAACACTCGCCTGAAAACAGCATGCGCCTGGTTAGTTCTCCAACCAGGTTGACTAAAAGTCGAGCACTATAGCATAGAGAGAGAAAGAGAGACGAGACGTTGTCGAGCGCATCGGTCCGGCACCGCACAAAACGGGGCGGGACCCTCCCGGCGGCGTCACACAGGAGTCGGTCTGATCCTCGTCGAGAATACACATGGAGCTTCCGCAAGCCGCTCCGGCCGAGTGCGCCAGCAATACCTCTCATGATCCCCTATGATAGGATATGGCCTACACGAGGCACGACTTACCTCCTCCTTACGAGAGTTGTCACCTCCCTTCGGTGGGCGTATCCCCGCCGAGCTACCAATCCACAGTACGAAAGCTAATCAGCTGCAATCGCAGAGGTGGACCAGCCGAGGGCGTTTCTCATTCGCTGTAGCATAGGGGGTACGTGCGGTAATACGCCTCTATCGGACCCGTACGCGAACCGACGCCTTGGGGGGTTGAGGTCCCAAGCGCTGTCGAGCGCATCGGTTCCCGCCTTTTCGCAAAGGCGAGAGCCCTCCCGGCCATGTCACGCAGGAGTAAAACCAAACAAAATCAGAGACAACTCTGGAACGACGCTAAGTGTCCCACGAGCCGCCGAGACGGTTGTGGTCACGTCGTCCCATCGCCACTCTAGGCAGGTGCGCCAGTTGTACATCCCGCGGTCCCCTACGACAGGATAGGTTCCCGTGGGGCATAAGTTTTCCTTCCCTAAAGGGTTGTCACCACCCTTAGGGGCGTATCCCTACCGAGCTACTGACCCACGTGTGAAAGCTTTTAAATGCAATTGCAGAGGTAGGTCAGCCGAGGGCGTTTGCTCGTCTCGCTGCAGTATAGGAAACGTTTGGTTAACGTCGAGTGGACCCGAACGCCGTCCCTCCCTTAGAGTCGCCTGTCAGAAAAGACGTTCCCAGATTTCACAAGCCTCATCATCGAACGCGGTGACGACAAAACATTCGGAGCGAAAGATATTAAATTTGTTCGCTCACAACCGTCTCACATGATGAAGGAGGTTGAAAGGTCCTTGCTGATCGTTCAACCATAGCGCAATATAAAGAAACATTCCTCTAATCTCTGGAATGTCTTCTATAATTGAATTTGCTTCATGAACTACGATGAGGTTCATGTCTCAATAATCTCGTGATGGATTAGGAGCCACAAAATTATATCGCACAATATGTTGTCTCTGTTCAATCAAGAAAATATAGCTCCGCGACGATTTTCTCACGCTCCCATCCCAAAATCGCGGCTCATCCCGTTCCGAAAAAATTTCATGTGGATTGTATATCAATCTTCCTTTCCGTATCATACCGGCACGTGATCGTGTCGGCACTACTATCCAATCCGTCGCCGCCTCGCGCGTGCTAAACAATCGAAGGATCACTGCTAGCGCGGACATCTGAAAGACGAAATGGTAACTTTGTCAAGGTCAATTTAGATATACCAATTCCCATGTTCTATTTTCATCCCCTTCCCGGACCATCATTTTTGTGTCACGGTCCTATCGTGAAAGTAGTGCCTACTTGCACTTCATTTGACACTAATTGGAACATGAACTGGGCTTCTTTTGGCGCCACTTCCCCATTCGCTGGTGGCTCCTAAGACAACCACCCAAAAGGGTACTAGATTCAACCTCCCCTTTACTTGAAAGCATGAGAAGGTGACTACTCTTAGTTTCAAGACACCCTACCCTCTATGAAGTGATTTGGAATACCTCTTCTCCTCGCTCGAACACATTGTTCAGGACTCAGAAGTTGGGCTCGCTCCACTGAGATACAACATAGTATTCCCCCGTGATACGGTCCACTCTGGGTCGCTAACAGGGCCGGCTCCTAAAGCAACGAACTCCCGCCCCGGATGCCTCCTAGACAGGAAAAACCTCGATCTTTAGGTGCAAACAACTTTCTCTATGCCTCTATGCTGAGGGTTGACTTGGACGAATAAAAAAGGATGGTTTGAAAGGGAAGTAAGACTCTTTTAGACGGGTTCAGAGGGAAAGGGTCATTTGGGGTAGAACAAAAAGGATGGTTTGAAAGGGAAGTAAGACTCTTTTAGACGGGTTCAGAGGGAAAGGGTCATTTGGGGTAGAACGGGATGATCCTTGGGAAAGTACTCAATTGTTTCCTGATCTTCATTTTCGTCCTCCGTGTATTCCCTTTTTCGGCACATGTCAATTCACCCTTTACTATATTCTTTTTTTTGACATGCATACAGGTAAAAGCGGCAGAAGGGCGAACATTCACATCATTCCTTGAGCAAGCATAATATCGATCCCTTCTCATATGCATCCAATTACCCACTTGCATAACCAAACAGACTCGGAAGCAACAACCCAAGACCGTCCATACCCCAATCAAAGTCAGCCCCCTCCCACATGCCATCACACACTTTACCCTACCTTTTTCCTAAATCCAAGCAAGGTCATGCAAAGTGTGGGTTCACACAGGTGTGAAAGGGAAGCTGAGTCATAATCAACTGACGTGTGAAGGTGAAACGACTTACTCAAGAAAATCAAATACTCCTTCAAAGAGATTGGTCACACAACCACGTTGTGGTCGTTTCACAAAACATAATCCACGTCTTTCTTCGGGTATCACCACTGACACAGACGCCGCCCACTAGGACTGAAGCGAGATAGCCCTCGAGGAGGGTGCTCTCACTTACAGATCTAAGTGGCCCACCACCACACTATCAGCGGCACCTCGCCCACCAAGAATAATGTCGCCTCTATCACCAGTCTCTTGGTCCCAAGCCGGGTCTCAAGTGGCTCCACGCTGCTGCCTCATCATCAAATGATCATCCAAAAATGTAAATCTGATTCGCAGCGCTCATCCAAAACCGACAGCACACCCGTCGTCAATGCCGCAGTGCTATACCAAAAATAGCCACACCACTGAGCACTATGCCAAACAATCACCGCCGCGGATTCAAACCCTGCCGATAAAACTTCCACTAGCCGCGCCGCGTAATTTCGACAACACCTCCCTTCAAAAAAAAAAAAAAAAAAAAAAAGCAGCGGCGCAGCCTCCCACTTAAAAATTCATTACCACCGTGCCGACTGTCGAGCATCACCTCCCTCACGCTGCCACTTGCTGCACGGTCCAACTATAGCCACCTTTGCCGTGATGGCCTCGCAGCATCTCCCCTTGTGCTGCAGTCACTAAACCCAGTGTCGTTGCCGCAAAAATTCAGCAGCTCTTCCGCACCACCGTTGTAAAAACCAGTATTGTCGCCGCAAAAATTCAGCAGCGCTTCCGCACCACCGTCGTAAAAACCAGCGTTGTTGCCGCAAAATTTCGGCAGCGCTTCCGCAGTATGTCAACAAAATTGTCGCCGTCGTTCGACACCTCCCCCTCATTGTTCCAATTATGCCTGCCGTTGCCAACAATCGTGGCTATGGCAGTATGTGTCTCCTCCAACTATGCCGCAGTTGTACCAGTCCAACGGCCTTCTCACTCCTCATAGGTGGTGGCTATGGCAGCCTCCAGCCTCACTCTTCCTGCAAACCTCCACTCTCTATTTCCAGCCAGCAGCCCCTCCTCCAAACAGCCAGCATTCACTCAAGTAGAATGCCAACAGCATTGGCCACGAATGAATGCTGGTTGGCTGGCTGCTGGCTGCTTTTATAGCCATCTAAGGGCAAAGAGCAGCAGCTTTGCCCCCCAGCCAAAACTCGGAATAGGGTCTGGCCCTCGATCTAAAACGAGATCAACGGCTGAAAATCTTGATGTTCCTATAAGGGAACCAAGTTCCAGGCCTTGGTAATGCATCCGGCCTTCACCCATGGCCAAACGCAGTCCATAAAAGGTTGTACCAAGCCATTTGCAGGACTGCATGTTCAACTGAACAGGTGCAGTCCCATCAACCCCTAGAAGCTTCTGGGGCTGTATCTGTTCCACGACCGCGGCCATATACGCGGCCGTTCCCTTTCCCATCTTTTCCTTCTTCTTCTACTTCCTACCTCTGTATCTAATCTAACCCCGCGGCCACGTACGTGGCCGCCACTCATTTCTTTCCCTCTTCTTAATTCAGGGGCAGCTTGTCGTTTGAAAACGAACGAGCACCCCTCCTGCTTCCCTGAACTGACCCGGTGCCAAGCCCAACAGGGCTTCTTTCCCCTGTCCTACGCCTGTACATGGCTCAAACGGGCGCCAGATACAGGCGTGCAACTTAGAGAGTTTGCCCCAAAAAACGAACGGGCGCTTTACCCGCTGACCACCACTCTCTCTCTCTCTCTCTCTCTCTCTCTCTCTCTCTCTCTCTCTCTGAAACCGACTTGCCCAACCCTTCACCATGGAACCTTCTGAATGCAGCCGCAATACGCGGCAGGTGCATTCTGCAAGTCAGTCCATCCTTAGATGGATTGTCGGGGCTCAGCCCCATGATGAGTCGGTGGAAGTCCGCGAAACAGTCGGGCACATCAACCTCTACGTTCGTTCGAACGAATGGGCGCCAACCAGGTAAGAACAAAAAAAAAAGAAAAAAAAAAGAAAAAAAAAGAAAAAATAAATAAATAAAATCTAAGAAGAAAATCTAAAGAAAAGAATCTAAAACGAAATCTAAAACAAAGAACAAAGAACTCACCTCTGAAAAAAACGGTCGCCCGTTTTCACGGGCGATTGTTTGATGTACGGGGGCTGAAAAGCCCCAGGCCCCCAGTCACTTCGAAGTGCGCCACATTGCGCTATTCTTATTAGTTCTTGATTTTTTTTTTTCTTCTCTTTCCCTGTTTATTACTTTTTTTTTTCTTTGACCCAACGACCGCTTCTTGCCACGCCGTTTCGCCCTAGTGAAAAAAAAAAAAAAAAAAAAAAACAAAGTTTGGACCATTTCTCGATCTATGCGTGTCATCCTTGCGCAGGGCCATGCTGACCCGCGCGACCGATTTCGGTTGCGCGATCTAGTAGATCATGCGGTCGAAATCGACCGCGTCACATCAAAGGGAGGGGGACCGGGCAACTCTCAGCAAAAGGAGCTAGCCCAGTTGCCTGCTGTCGAGTTCGATCCCTGTGTCTGCGGGGTAATAGTCTGGCAGCGGTACCTACTGGGCTAGCTCCTTTCTCACATTGGGAGAGGAGCGGCCCTTCTATATGAAGAGCATCGGTGTCCAACACGCCTCCTCCCAGCGCTTAGCAGGTGCCTGCTAAGCCCGCTCGTTATCGTGGCTGGCTGGCTGGGTTGGCGGCCGACGGCCTTAACAACTGCCCCACTCAACCAGCCCTAATGCCATCGCCCTAGGTCCTCGACGCAAAAAGACTTGTGGACCCTAAAAAAGCTCCCTATACCTCCACGCTGTGGTTCCAACCTCGTCGCAGCGACCCCTTTTTAGCCTGCTTAGGCCCTGAATAGCGCGGCTTAGCAGTCCAGCGACATTATTATAGGTAGAATAAGTTTAATTTTAATGTTCCCATATCTGCACGTTCCTGCGGCGCGTGACAAAGCAAAGCCTTGCCATTCACATCCGTTACTCTCGGACGCCACACGCGTCCGGACTAAAACCTGAAAAACTTATAGTATCTCAGTCATAGGTCAGGTCAGAATAACTTTTGACAACGCCAGTCTCATCAAGTCCTTCAATCTAACAAAGAAAAGTCGGACATCGTCCGACGTTCAAAACCCCCCGGCAAATACCCTTATCAGGGTTTTTGCCCCGACAACATTCCCAGACCTCATTGAACGACGTCCCCGTCTTTCACCATATATTAACAAATGACACAGGTATTTCTGGATTCTTATGAAACTCCATTGTAGAAATGACAACAAATTCTTTCAATCGAAAATAAGCCGAAGCTTATGACTAAAAATCCAAGTCATTTCCTCGGTAGTCCAAAATTCAAACATTCTTTATTGGAATGGTACCAGATATAGCCTCTCACAAGCCTTTCACCAAAACCTGAAAATTTATACCGGATCAAATTCCAGAATCACTAAAATATTCAAGGAACTTCGTCAGAATGGCTTCAGCATCATCCCATTGGCGGCCACTCAATTCCATTATTTAGTCTCTCATAATGGTACCGGAAAAGCTTCCGGCTAGCCTCCAAAATCTCAATTGGTTGGCACATCCTTTTCTCTAAAAAAAGTCAGGTTTAACCCCATGACGGGTCTTTCTAAAAATTAACCTCTTGGGCGGCTCAGACAGAATCTGAACCAACCATTCACGAGAGAAACCATTCATCGAAAGTCCTTGTCCAGGTTTTGTATCCCACTCCAATTACGAGCTATCATACATAATATTCTTCCTGCATGCTTTGTGATATGCGTCGAAGAGTGGTGTAATCCTCAAGGGATAAGATATCGACGTCAAGCCCCGCTTTAGACTCGAGCCTCACTACATTCCCTCCGATTCCAGTGCCATGTTTTTGCTAGTCCCCTACTTGTAAGGTTGAACTACCCCTTCTCTATGACCTAAGGTGGTCAGACCCGACCATAGAGGCGAGGCGACCCCGCCTGTCACAAGGTCAAGGTGACCACTCCTTTCCCCATGGCGGACGACAATCGTCACTCTCACAAATAAGTTGCTAACAATCACGATAACACATTCTTCCCTTTCAATGATAGTGTAACCACCCTCCTTAAGAAGGAAAGACGACAACATCCCACTATGGACCAGGAACAAAGTTCCTACGCGGGTCTCACTACCATCTACGGAGCTCACTGCATTAGGATGCATCATTGCATGATAACTAAAAACATTACAAAAGTTTTAGGTTATGATAAAAATTTGCAGTACATGCCTTTGCGAATAACACAGTGCTATCTTACAAGTCATATAATGCAAATTGTATATCATTGTCCTAAAACCTTTTACACATACATCAAGTAACCACATACATTTTTACAGAGAGTTTCATAACATTCCAGTCAAAAAATATATATATATATATATTGCAACACATTGCATTAAAATTTGATAAGCAATTTTTCAAAATTAAGAGTCGAAACAGGATTTTCAATCTATCCAAAAATAAACTCTACGAACAGAAGTCGTGGATATTATTAATTATTACAAAACATGGAACCATAGGTCCCAATTTAAATCCAAATCTCAATCTAAAAATTGAATGTTACATTTTCTCTTGTCCGACCTCAGTAAAAGTCATCAATTAATGATCCCAAATATAAAAAGGAATTAAAAGAAGAAGTCAAGTTTTTCATCATCGAGTTTATATCAACTAAACTCTTTATTAAGTCCTTGAAATATATTTTCACAAATACGATCCCGATATCCAATTCCGACCTCTAGCCTCATCCAATTCCTCAATCTCATAAGCTCCATGCTAAGATTTTCTGATAATACGATAGGGTCCCAACCATCGGCTGTCCAATTTTCGAGACCACTGTTTCTCCAAGGACGTCTCATAAAGAAGAACAATATCCTCAATTTTCAACGGTTCCTTACGAACACGAAGCCCCTTATGATGAGCTTTATCCCATATTTCCTTATCAGCCTGTCTACTTTCTGTAGTAAAAGCAGCGGCCTCCTCAACCCTTTCCTCAGTGATCATCACCTGTCTCGCCCTTAGTTCCAACAACTCCTCCGTCGAAAGTTTCGTTTTCACATCCTGCTTCCACCAAGTGGTCAGAAAACTTTCGATTGGAAAAGTTGCATGTCGTCCAAACCACAATGTGACCGGCGCATATCCAGTTGTTCGCTTTATGGTAACATTCTCGACAAAGAATGTTGTTCGCAGATATATCGGTCATCTTGATGGGTCGCCAACACACCATTTCACCAACAAATTCGTAAGAGTTGCATGCCCACGCTCAACTGGGGCATTGGCCTGAGTTGTGCCCTCGTAGTATAGCTGAAGTTCACCCCAAGCTTTTTCAAAAACGATTGTACTTCCCCAGCCCGGAATTCACCACCTCGATCCATAACAAATTCCCGGACAAATGGGTACCGAAGATAATATTCTTCAATGCATTCTGCCAAAACATGCCCCGTACGGTCGCGAATGGCACAACCATCAACGAACCCAGTCAGGTTATCCCTCGCATCGAAGATATATCTGTACCTATTAATCCCCGGTGGCATGACCAATAGATCAAGGTGTACCACTGCTCCCGGTTCAGCCACATAGCGTGGATTAAGAGGTTCAACAAAACGCACATTAGATCGCCTTTGGCAAGGAAGACAAGATCTACAAAAATCAATTACCATCTTGCTCATTCCCTCCCAAAAAAATAGGTGCTGAATCTTCTTCAGCGTCATTCGTGCCGATCTATGTCCACCTGCCACCCCATCATGCAAGGCTGCCATCACATCGAGTTGCCGTGCAATCCCACATACCACTCTCTTTGAGATACCATCTGCAGATTTCTTAAAAAGATGACCATACCGAATGACATAATCCTTACTCTTTTGGCGAACAACTGGTTCCACCTCATCCTCTCTCAACTCACCATTCAGCCGCATCCCCATTCTTTTATACCCCCCATCATACTCTGCTTCTCTGAAAGCTTCTCTGATCTCACTGCCTTCTCCTTCTTCACTCATCATCCTCAGGCGGTCCTCATGAATTAGATAATTCACTAGGAAAGACATCTCCCCAGCGATCCTGAAAGTTTTATCAGCTTGCTCGTGCCCATACTCAATCGTCAGCGGCTCTTTGATAAGCTCAACTTCATCTGATAAAGCCAAGCTCATCATTTGCTCTGATGTCCTTTCACCCTATGGGTCCTCCTCAATGAATGGCTCCCCCATCACTAGCTCTGGTCGCACATGATGGAAGCTAGGAGCATTCCAAATAGTCTTCCCATGTCGGGCAACTGCATCCGCCAAGTAAGTATACGAATTGATACTTAATTGCAACTCTTTTCCTTCGAGGAACCCATCCACATGGACTGAATCCTCAGCCTGATCCGTCGACGAGTCCCAATCCACACGACTCAACCCATCTGCGCGATTTTGATTTGAAGAATAGTCGGCCAGAGCCAAAGCAGACTACGTTGTCCACACCCGCTGTCATCGTCGTCCTCTTGTTCACCGAAGACGGTGTGATTGGAATCAGGCCCAACAACAGCGGCCTCCTTGTCCGAGAACCCAGCAGCACATCCAAGCTTTGGAATGCATCCTCCGCCATCTTGCCGGCAACGACCATCACTGCCACAGCGAGCTCTTCTCGCTGTCTCCTTCTCAGACGCGGCATTGCGAGACGACAAAGGCCCCCCCCTTCCCCCCATCACTGCCACAGCGAGCTCTTCTCGCTGTCTCCTTCTCAGACGTGGCATTGCGAGACGGCAAAGCCCTCCCCCCTCCCCCCCCCCACCCCCCCCCCCCCCCCCCCCCCCCCCCCCCCCCCCCCCCCCCCCCCCCCCCCCCCCCCCCCCCCCGAACCCTCCTTATGGCCTCACACCGTCCTAGG